GGGCAGAGCGACTGAGAGAACCTCAAAGAAAGCAGAGATATTAAAAGAGCAAATCACCAGACCCTGAAAAGCATCAATCACAGCGCAACACAATCACAACACTGCCCTCGGCCACGCAGACCTCCTCAGCACCTGCACACAGAGCCTGTGGATTCCAGTCCTGTTACTGCCCTAGATTTATGTCTGTATCAGTCAGCGTTCTTCATTCCCTCTCTGTTTGTTTACTCGTGTGGCCAATGAGGTTTGAGCATGTCTGGTGAGCCTCGGCCAGATCGATCAGGGAACTGCGACGAGTCATGTCGAGTCATAGCGAGTCACATCCTCTCACCTTCCCTTGCCAGGCTCAAACAGGCAAGTAGGACCTGATTCCTAGAATGGAAACACCTGATGGGGCTGAGCTCTGTGTAGATCCCCTCACAGCCCGACGACAAGATCGAGTTTCGCCCTGTATGTTTGTGGGGGGGGAGGTGGGGGTGCAGACGGCAGTGCAGGAGTCACACCTTAGTGAGGCGCACGCTGAAGGAGCTTCTGCATCAACTCGGGGAGCCTTTTATGGTGCGATTACGCCGCTGGACCCGTGGCCTGAAGCGAAACGCGGCTGTAAATTACCGACGACAAAAAGACCCGACGCCAAGCAGCAGCCAATGAGAAGCCGTCACTCCAGAGGCTCGTGTGTCGAGAAGGCGATGAGACGTGTGAGAACTACGCAACGTAGACCGTGCACGCTGCCCGCACACTGACACCTCTGCCATGTTTGCCCAGTGTCCTTTTTGGGGCTTTTTACTGGGATTTCAGAAAAACTAACAAATGTCCACTAGGTCACCTGGTGGATCCCCCCCGCAGCATATTCGCAAGAGACAAAACCCACTGACAGACGAATGAACAGACAAACGCAAACAGCAGGCAAATATGGCGAAAGATGGCGCTGACTGCAGCTACAGTGATATGGACGCAGCATAAAACTGCCAATAGTGATAGAAATAAACAAAGACAGAACAAACGAACAGCGCAGCATGTGAAGTCATGAACCACACGCAGTTTAAAACAACACAGTTATCCGCAGCATGGCCCAGCTAAGCCGGCAGCGGTGATTAGCGCTAATGAAAGCAAAACAAAGCCGGACATGTTAAATTTATTAGTGCGCTTAAAACGGTTAACGCGGGCCCCCACCACCAATAATAATTTCAAAATCATAACAAAGGATGGCTTCCTCCACCAGAGCTGATCTGCGGAGGGGGTGTGTTTGTGAAGTGGCTGAACAAACAGAGATTTGCCGCCGTCTGTGTCTTTCCCAGCCTGCGAGTGAAGTGGGGGCTGCCTAGGTCACATGGGCGGGCTCCACCTCAGTGCCCCGCCCCAGTGAGCAAACCAGGCCCGCCCCCTCAGAGATCTCAGTACACTCTTCTATCATAGGAAAGCTCGGATTCCATCTTTCATGCTGATTTGTGGTAGTTGCACATGAATTTATGAAAGAGACAGAACTTCATTGTTTTTTTCCACATTTGGACTAATTTCCAACCTTCAAACAATTAAATTAATGACTAACTGAGAAGCCAATTTTGATTGAGTGATTGAGATAAATATCTTTATAAAACAAAGTTATGGTCATTACACAGACAAAGGTTAAGGGCTCTGAATGTGATCACTGACATTCTCTGGTAGTAACAACCTAGCTGGGGAAGACGGCCCTACCCGCCTTCTGCCACGTCCGGTAGCTGGGGAAGACGGCCTTACCCGCCTTCTGCCACGTCCGGTAGCTGGGGAA